GGAATGTTTTTACTCTGCATGTATTTTTTCTGGTTAGGAACATGCATGGGGATTTAAGGGTGCAGCTAATACAGCAATGTACCTTCATTTTTAGTGTTTATCACTGAAACTGAAGGCTGGTAGTAGTATTGGAAACATAGACTGAGATGCTCTCTAAAAACTCATTCTGTTGATTTGGCATTTCTGTCTTGTGATGAGGCCTATGACACAGAATGATCATTTGTGCAGGAGAGGGAAATCCTAGCTGGTCGTGGAAGACAAAGGTTGAGGTTGGAAGGGACATCTGGAGGATGTCAGTGCTGCAGAGCACTCAGCTGAAGTGTGAAGTGTTCATTGACCTAGTCTGGTTTAGTTACCATCCTCTTGCAATTAAAATCACAGCTGCAGATGTGAAGGAAGGATGAGAGCAGTGTGGATACAGAGGGGCATGAACTAAGGGCTGCTTTTAAAACCTCTTTAGAGCTTCCTAAAGGCACAGCTGAGTATTGTTCTAAAATGAGGGGTCGCTTGGCCTTGCTGTAATGTCATGCTTTCTGCACTGTAACAACTGCTAACCTGGTTTTTTTTGTCATCCAGAGTGGTGTTAAAGGGTTTCAGATTGCAGCTGAGAAGCAGAATGACACTGTGCCTGTTGAGTATGAAGGAAATGAATACAAGCTGTCCCATGGCTGTGTTGTCATTGCTGCAGTCATCAGCTGCACAAACAACTGCAACCCATCTGTCATGCTTGCTGCAGGTATGTTGTGACCTGTGACATGACCTGAAAGGTGCTCCCATTCAGGAGCAGTCCTGACCTTCACCTCTCTAGGTTCTCTGTCATGACTGGACCTAAAGGTTTGAAACTGGTAGGATTCCAGCAGGGAGGCAGTTTTAGGGCTCTTGTCAGGAGGCTGCAGCAGTGACACAGCTGATGCAGGAGGAGGTGGCTCCAGGGTGATGAACTGTAGTTAGCCAAAACTCCATATTGCTGAACAACTATTCTTTCTCTAGTTCAGGGCTATGGTTTAGCTGCAACAGCTCATGTGCCATTCTTGCTTTCTTCTAAGGTCCTCTGTGGCCCCAAACGGAGTGGGTTTGCACTGTCAGCTAGAACAGGGGAAAGATTTTTCTTATAGAAAAGAAGGGTGTCTGCATTATAGGAATAGGAACAAAAACCTGCATGGGATTGTTGGGAGTTGAGAAACTTTATTCAGGCCTGTAGGTGTTTTAATAATTTAATAAACTGAAAGTTGTCTAATCCTCTGAGGTGTCTGATGCTTTATGTAACTAAAGTACTAAGGGAGAGACAAAACATAAGCTGTCTCCTTTTTCTCCTGTTTGTTTGGTAGGACTCCTGGCCAAAAAGGCTGTTGAGGCTGGCCTGGTGGTGAAGCCCTACATCAGGACAAGCTTGTCACCAGGCAGTGGCATGGTCACACATTACCTCAGTTCCAGTGGAGTATTGCCATACCTCAGCAAGCTTGGGTAAGGCCTGGCTCTGTTTGGCATGTGGGGTTTGTACAGGCTGATCAGTAGGATTGCTGCTCACTTTGGGTTGGCTGATCCTTGGCTTAGTAGGTTGTCATTTTATTTACTTGCTGACTTAAAATTGGTTTGCTCCATTGTGTTCCCACTTCACTGTCTGAGCTCATTTTTTTTCAGTAGCAAATTGTCTAATTGTGTCTTGCAGGGCAGGATGCATTTGATGTGTTTTAGAAGTGGAAGCTGGATGCAAATTTGTCAGAACAGTCTGTCTTAGTCTTTTCTTGACTAAGAAGGGTTGTTCAGCATTTTTTTGGTTGCCCTGTAGCAGTAACAACTAGATTCTGTTAATAATTCATAGAATCATAAAATCATAGAATTTAGGGGTTGGAATGGATTGTACAGATCATGTAGTCCCAGCTCCCTACCCTGGGACACCTCACCTCCTCACTAGATCAGGTTACTGAAGGCCTCCATCCAGCCTGGCCTTGAACACTACCAGGGTGAGGGCAGCCACCACGGGGCAACCTGTGCCAGTGTCTCACCATAATTCTGTGCCAGTGCCCAGCTGTGGCTTCCACCAGTGAGATGTGGTGTCTGCTGTTCACTTCCTAAAAAGTCTTCATTGTCAAAGGGAAAGAAAATTCTCAGGGATTGCTAATAAAAGAAAAGGTGGTTTTGCTAACAAATTCCTTGTGATCATGTAATTGACTTGTTTGGTTTTTCCCACGTAGGTTTGAGGTTGTTGGCTATGGGTGTTCCACCTGTGTTGGGAACACTGCCCCTCTGCCAGAAGCCATCAGGAATGCAATAAAGCAGGTAAAGCTCTGATTGGCTCATTGGGCACAGAAATGTGTTTCTCACGCATTTAAGCAATCAAGAAATACAGAAATCGATGGAAATACATTTCATTTATAGAATCATAGTATCTTAGGGCGTTGGAATGGAGCTTAAAGTCATCTAGTCCTAACCCCCTGCCCTGGGCAGGGACACCTCCCACCAGAGCAGGTTGCTCAAGGCTGATCCAACCTGGCTGTGAACACTGCCAGGGTTGGGGCATTGGTTCACTGTTGGTTTGGACTTTGAATGATGGGTTTGCACATTTGCATGTCAGTGGGAGACCATGGAAAGTAAATGTAATAAACAGTGTTTGTGGCAGACAGCTGCAAATTACGAGATAAACACTCATGATCTCATCTTATGGAGGATGCAATATGTGGATTTTGTGTCAGAGGTGAGGAGGAGGGTTTGAAAGAGCTGTGGGGTCAAGTCATCTTAAACAGCAGTGTCTGAAGAGCTGCAGTGCTTTTGTCTTCTGAAGCAGAAGGAAAATACCAGAAATAAAAGGCAGGAGAGGAGTTGACTGAAGTGACCAGAGAACACATCATCAGAGGGTCAGGAGTGAAAAGGGTAGCGGGAGAGAGCAAAATGCCTTTAAATGGTAGTGACATGCTAAAAGCACATCTGACAGTCAACAAAAAATAGCAAAAGCTGTTGAAGTGCCACAAATGGCTGGAACAGTGTATGTGGGTGTGCCTTTCAGGGTGATATCATTGCCTGTGGAGTGTTGTCTGGCACCAAGAACTTCGAAGGTCGCCTGTGTGACTGTGTCCGTGCCAACTACTTGGCGTCTCCTCCGCTGGTCGTGGCCTACGCCATTGCCGGCACCGTTCGGATAGACTTTGAAACTGAGCCTCTGGGTGAGTGTTCTCTCACAGCCTCTGTGTCTGCAGCTCATGCATATGGAAGAGCTTTCTGCATGTGGATTTTTGGCACCCAGAGCCAGGATGTTTGGAGAGAAAGTGCAGCTATATTTGGTGCTGCTCGTGTGAAGCATCCGCTTAACTGATAAACTCTTGGCATATCTGGTACCATCTCTGAAAGCCTCAGTGTATACGTTTTATATTCTAGTAGAAATCTGAAGCCTAATATTTTATTCTTCACAACTACTGGTGTGTTTCAAATCTTCCTCAGGCACTGGTTTTAATGGCAAAAGCATTTACTTACGAGATATTTGGCCCACCCGAAAAGAACTTCACACGGTGGAGGAAGAGTGTGTGATATCATCCATGTTCAAGGAGTTGAAAGAAAAGATGGAGGTAAGAATGGGATTATGTTCTACAGAACTTAAAGGTAGCTTTATAACACCTTCCAGCTGAATGTGATGGGTTTGTCAGTTACTTCCATTACTGGAACAGAGGGCTTAACTGGGATGGACACTTGGATTACAAAGTGATTCTTAAGTAACATCCAGTGTAGTAACTTGTAATATGTAATAGAAAATTATTTACTAAATAGTGGAAAATCACCAGTAGGTCTTGGGTTTCTGAATGTAAAAAGATCATAAATTAAATTTCTCTGTTCTTTTGTATTTCCTTTTTTTTATAGAAAGGAAACAAACGATGGAATTTATTGGAGGCACCAGAGTCAACTTTATTTCCCTGGGATCTAAAATCTACTTATATCAGATGTCCTTCCTTTTTTGATAAACTTGTAAGTACGTTGGGTCTATCCACCACAGAATCAGTTGGCTTGGAAGGGACCACAGTGGTTCATCTGGTCCCACCTCCCTGCTCAGGCAGGACCATCCCAGAGCACATGGCTCAGGATTGTGTCCAGATGGTTCTTGAACACTTCCAGGGAGGGAGAATCCATGACTTGCAGATTTTCTGCATTGCATTTAAGTAAAGTATTAGCTATTCCAGTAAAGCTTCAATGTTCCAGCAATGAATTTGGTTACCACTAATATTTCTCAGTCTTTTAAGTACTGTTTGTATCTCTGCAGGGAGTGGAGCCTGTACATCAAGGTGCCTTCATATACTGCAGATATGTCTCTCTGCATTTTGTCTCCAAGGATCTTGGAAAAAATGCTTCTTACATTTTTTTTTTTGCCCATCTATTTTGCTTTCTCCCTTCCCTTTTAGGCCAAAGAACCAGTTTCACCACAGCCAGTTGAACACGCCCATGTCCTGCTCTACCTGGGGGACTCTGTGACCACAGATCACATCTCTCCTGCTGGGAGCATTGCAAGGAGCAGTGCTGCTGCCAAGTATCTGACCAGCAAAGGGTAAGCCCTTGGCAGGTTCAACTGCTTCACATGCCAAGTAATTGATTAGCACTGTTGCTTCCCTTCATAAATGCCTGTCTGCATAAAGGGGAGATTACATGTGGGGAAACAAAATAGAACCAGTCCCGAGTTCATAAGTCATCACCTTCCTGCAGTCCCAGTCATCACCTTCCTGCAGCCTGTCTAAGGTTACAGCAAACACTCTGAAAGAACTCCCTCCCAGCTCTTGCCACAGTAACACCTGCTGCCAAGTGGCTGCCAAAGCAGAACTCATGTACTGATTTACACATCAGGTGACTGATCTGTTAACATGAGGCACTGGCCTCAAACAGATGCACAGAACAGATCAGAAGCCCTAGAAATGTAGTTGGAAAAATGGAAGCCCAGTCTTACAAATTAATGTGGTGTGGACTCTTCTTTCTGACCATTGCCTTCAGTGTGAATGACTTGTGTTACAAGAAGATTGAATGGGCCTTTAACCCCAGGGTGGTGGTTTGATTTGTGAGCAAAGCTCTCATTTTAGTACAAGGCTTGTTAATAAATGTGCTGGTAACAGTAAGAGGATAGTAAGCTTGGCTGTTTCCTAGAACAGTCTCCCATAGTTCTTCTGTAAGCAGCACACTGCTTGGAGCACTTCATTTTGAACTCAGCTGCAATGTTAAATCTAATTTCTATTTCTTCATGAATAATCTGATTTGCACCTGTGGCTCATGATTTATAAGCATTACATTTGGTGGAGCACTAGTTCTTTACATCTCGCACTGAAGACTTAGACATGCTGCAATAATGACAAAAAAAAATCATAATACCCTTTTAAACCAGGTAATCTGTAAAGGAACTGATCACCTTTCCAATCTGCTTTTGATTCCAGGCTCACACCTCGTGAATTCAACTCCTATGGGGCTCGAAGGGGTAACGATGCAGTGATGACAAGAGGTACCTTTGCAAACATCAAGCTTCTGAACAAGTTCATAGGCAAACCAGCTCCTAAAACTATTCACTTCCCATCAGGACAAACGGTAGGAATGGATTTACATGCACAGCTGCTGAGCTGGGGTTGTGGGTTTAGAACTCACTCACACTGTGCCACTTTGTCCTCCACAGCTAGATGTGTTCGAGGCAGCAGAGCTGTACCAGAAGGAAGGCATTACTGTCATTATTCTAGCAGGAAAGAAGTATGGACTGGGTAGCTCAAGAGACTGGGCTGCAAAAGGGCCTTTTTTACTGGTACTGTTGATTCGTTTGGGTTTGGGGAGTGGTTTTGCTTTTCTGGAAAGACCTAAAAACACATTGTGTAACTTCTTTGTTAGGATCTTGATGGGAGAGAATCAGTAGTCAGGATAAATCTGAATTTCCAAATTGTTTAACTTACCATCTTGGACAGCAGCCTTGGAGATAATTATTGGACATTCAGGAGCATATAATTCTTTGATGGGAACTGGAGTGTCAGGACAAGGAGTAATGGGGAGAAATTGAAAGAGTGAAGTTTAGATTAGATATTAGGAAGAAGTTTTTCCTTGTGAGGGTGGTGAGATGCTGGCCCAGGTTGCCCAGGGAGGCTGTGGCTGCCCCAACCCTGGCAGTGTTCACAGCCAGGTTGGATCAGACTTTGAGCAACCTGTTCTGGTGGGAGTTGTTCCTGCCCAGGGCAGGGGGTTGGGACTGGAAGATCTCTAAGGTCGATTCCAACCCCTTAACAATCTATGATACTCATGATTTATCTAGTCTGGTCTCCACCCCCTCTGTCTGGGGTGTATTTAGCTATTGGAGACTCATTTCCACTAATGCTCAGAGTATATTCCAAGTCAGCCATTGACTGATGTGGAGTAATAGGAGTAGCCATGTCTACTCTGGGATTTTGTGCCTGCTAACTCCAGCTGGTCACTGTCCCAGACCCCATTCCATGCTGTGTGGAGCTGCTCTGGCTCGCTTGCTTCCATCTGGCTGTACAGCTGGATGGTGTTACCTATGTTCTTAGAGGGCTCTCATGCAGAGCTCTCTGCTCACTCTTGAGTTTGAATGGGAAGATGTGGGACATAATGTGTATTTGAAGGTTCCTCGTGTTTCACTCTGCTGTGCTTGTCTTTTTTGCAGGGTGTTAAAGCTGTCCTAGCTGAAAGCTATGAGAAGGTTCATAGGAGTCAGTTGATTGGAATTGGCATTGCTCCACTTCAGTTTCATCCTGGGGAAAATCCAAGCACTTTGGGTCTCACTGGCAGAGAGCAATTTTCTATACTGTTCCCTCCAGAGCTGTCACCCAGAATGACTTTGGATGTTAAGGTATCTTTGCAGACAAGAGGGTTGAATTCAGTTGTGTTCAACAAAAGTTGGGGTTAGAGCGTTAACAGGATGAGCAAGGGGAAGTGAAAGCAAAGCTTTTAATTGGTGTCTCTTTCTTGCTTTTGTTTTTGAAGACAAGCACTGGGAAAGCATTCAGCGTGATTGCCTTGTTTGAGAACAGCATGGAGATAACTTTGTACAAGTCTGGTGGAAGTCTAAACTTTGTGGCTCGAAGATTCTTATAGTAGCTACTGACTCTCTGGGTACTTTGCATAACTGGTAACTCTGAAAATGCCTTGTGTGAACCCAGGAATCTGTACTGTGGAACTGCAAACAGTCCTAGTGTGCTCAAAGTTACTTCGTCCATGGATGTAAAAGATTGTGAATCATTGTAACTGCAACGAGATCCTTCCTGATTTTAAATAATATTCTAATGGTGCTATTAAACATTGCTAAAATCAACATGTGTATTGTGGCAGAGAGCTGTAAGTATGGAGGGGATGTTTTATCAGACCATTTTGTAAATAAACTATGCGAAATCTGAAACTGATTGTGCTGAAGATTATTATGGCAGAAGATGTTCTGCAGTTGTTTCCACTCAGTTTTTGCACCTGTAAATGTGTGTATTGCTGTTTGTTGGTTCAAGGATAGCAGATGGAATCTTAAAGGCCAAACAGAGTTTGTTTTTTTCATCCAGAGCTTAAAACAGATATTGAGGTTTCAATCTCTTGTTGTTTAGGTTATGGACTTTCCAAAAAACAGGCCAGGTGAAGCCCATGGTGTCCTGGATCACAGATGATGACATCCTTAGTTTTAGGATATTTCATCTGGATTCAGATTTAAAACTGCTTAAGCTATGAAATACTATGTGCTTAGAAACATGGGAAACATTTGTGCATTTCAAAAGAAAGCTCAGAGTTGTTTCGTTCATGCAGGTTAAGTCATGTTTGATCACAGAATCAGCAAGGTTGGAAGAGATCTTTAGGATTAGCAAGTCCAACCATCAACCCAGCACTTAGCACTGTAACCCCTGAACCATGTCCTTCCATTGGAGTTTGTCCTGTCTCCTTCAAGGGACACAGTTTGTCACTTGTGGCATCAGTTTTTACTCTGCTGGCTGCAACATCACCAGACAAAGTATCTCCCTGTAGTATTTTAACCTTGAAAAATCTTTTGACACGTTAATTTAGGACTGTTGAAATTCCTCTGCTTTAAATACAAACTATGTCTAATAAGCTATACTTGTCAGATGGTCAAGAGCCAGGTAGCCACACTGCCTTTTAATGCTTTCTCATGTGCTGTCAGTTCACAGCTCTTCCCAACAGTGTCACATTCCCCTGTTGAGGAGCCTGGAATACTCAACAAACCTGTCTCATGCCACTGCAGTAGCTGTAGATGTACCTGTCAGCACATGGTAAACCCCTGTTCTGTAGTTCATGTGAGCAGAAGATGCAGAGTTCCAGCAGGAGTGTTCCCACTTCACTGGGCAGTGGTGGCCTCTGCTCTGTGTGAGTGAGTCTGCAGCTCCTTTGTGATGTTCTTTGTGTGCTCCTGTTGCTCTGTGTGAGTGAGTCTGCAGCTCCATGATGTTCTTTGTGTGCTCCTGAGTCTTGAAAAGCTTCATAGCACCACTTAGGGCTTGTGTAGAGATTAATTTCTGCTGGGGAACAAAACTGCAATAAGTTGCCTATAAATTGTCAAGATTTTGCTTTCAGATTTTTTGTGTTCTTGATAAACATTGTCTTAAATATCAAGACATTCAAAAGGACTGTATTGGCTTTACTTTCATGTGCTTTCAGTTTCTAACCAGACACTAAGCTAACTGAGTTGGGAACTAACAGATGCACTGCTCAAATCTTTCAATAGTATGTTTGACATTCCTTAGAAAGCCCAAACCTCTCAAAGAATTCTATCATCACAATGTACTCATTTTTGACAGTTCAAAGGCCAAACTAGTTTGACTTCACTGACATAACTTTGATACACCTTTTCCTGTTTTCTTAGACAAAGTTCACTTAAGTTTGAAGTTGTGTATAACCTGCTTTTATATTTCACTGGTTTGATGTGGTTTTCTTTTAGGCAAGATAAAAACCATTCTGGTCACTCCTACTGCTGCTGAGGGGATAAGTCCATGTGGTTTGGAATACCATGTTCAGCTGAATGCTGAATGAGTTCCTGTTCTGTGGTACAAGAGTTACTGAGCAGATCTTACTGTACAACAGTGTCTAATACTATTCTTTTTCCCAGCTCAAAAGTAAATTCTTGATTTAGTTAACGAAGATGTGCATTACTGGGGAGAAAATAGGAACTTAGTGCTGGCACATACCTGTGCCTGATGCAGGTGATCAAACCACAACTCCAAGCCTATTTACAACTTGTGTAACTGCTCCTTCTTGCAGGGAGCACAGTTCCTGCCCCCTCTCCATGCTTCAGGAGAAAGGGATCCAAATCATGGCAAGGCAAACTGCTGTGGCCAAGTGCAATTTCAAGGCTGTGACTTACCTGCAAGTTGTCACCAGGAAAGCAAGGAAGCTCTTTGGAGAGACATGCTGGGTTTCATTCCCATCGCAGCTGCTTTAATTCTGCTGCATCCCTCTGTCCTAAAGGCCCTGAGCAGAAGTTCTGACCGCTCAGCTGTTGCTGCTGCAGCAGGGCCAGCTCTGAGTGTGACGTCCTGGGTGGTGCAGGCTGACACCTCCCCCAGCACTGCTCACATCCTCCTCTGCCCCCGCGGGGGGGAACTTGCCTCATTAGCTATGGGAATGTGCCCATTCCCTCTCCCCTGTCCAGCTCACCGGCCGAGCAGGGAGGGAAGATGTAATTTTGGACACACTGCCAGGATCCCGTGAGCTCTGGGAGGGCAGGAGTGACAGGGCTGCTGCAGTGAGGATTGCTGTGCTCGCACTCCAAACATGCAGACTCTAGTATCTCGAAAATAGGAGGACATGTACCTCTTTGAGAAGTGACTCGGTGTGTTAGATGTATTTAACCTAGATCTCTCTCTCCATTTTGAGTTGGGGGAAGAATCTGTTACAATTTTTCTAAGTGTTTTCTCTCCTTGCTTCCCTCTTTCTCCCCATCCCCAAAGACAAAGCTTTGGGCTACTGTAGATGTTTATACATTTTACACTTAAGTATAAGGACATAAAACTACGTATATTAATCATATTTAAGCAACTGCAAATCAATGTCTGCTGTTTGAAGCCAACAGAACAGTGTGAGTTTTCAGTTAAGTATTGTATAGATATATCTTCAGTTAAATTGATGAAAATTGTGCATAAAATGTTACCAATGCTGTAAATTATTTTTAATAAAGAAAATTGTATCACAGTTCTTGTATGTTACCATCTATTTTGGACAGAGTACACCTGAAATGGTGCTGTCAGTATGTGTGAAGGGGTGAGGTGGGTAAGAAAAAGGGATAACAGTCTATGTAATTATGCATGTCTCAGTTTCTTGTTAGAGGTGATCAGATGTGCTTGCAAGGCATGTTTAGCTGGTGTAGGAAAATGTTCTGTGTTAGCTGAGCTCCAGACACTACTTTGGATGTTAATATCAAGTGCTTTTTGACTAACATTTTTTTCTTTTCCTTCAGGAAAATGTATAGTTTAGCATCTAGATGAAATCCCATAGTAAAACAAGCTGTTAGCCAAGGTCACAGCTATGACAAGTCCCTCAGAAGTGCTTTGGGCTATGAGACACTGACCCACTGCAAGACTCCCTTTCAGCAGAGGCATCAGACTTGAATTCAACATGCAGGTGCTAAATTATTCAAGTCTGGTCTTTCTACAGGTAATGAGAGAGGCTGAAGTACAACCTTCACCCAGTACCACATTGTGCTTTCCCCAGAGCACCACGCAGGCAGCAGGAGCACAGAAGTTTATAGGTCTTAAATTTTGGCACTACTGTGTGGAAATAAGAGGTAGAGATCTGCAGAGTGTGTTGTAATTTTGTTTGTAGAGAGAAAGTATATTGTGGTGTTCTGTATTGAGTTTGTTCCAGGGAGCTAAAGCTTTAGTTGGCCTCAGAAATCAAGAGAGGGAATCCTAAATAATTTTCAGAGCTCTTTTCTTGAAAAAACCTGAATTGTGAGATTTTTGATGAGAACCTTTTCCTTCAGCTTCCTAATTCTATCACAGCAATTATTACATCGCAGCAAACTATTGTAGATCACTTTTTTTTCTCTAAGAGTTTCAGGAGTGATTTCTATATTCATCTTGTTTGTCATTAATTTCATAAAGTCTAGAATTCTCTAGGACCGGACACATGGTTCCAGTCTGAACTCAGGTACAGTCTAAAGGAATCATAGAATCAAAGAATCAACCTGGTTGGAAGAGACCCTCCAAGATCATCAAGTCCAACCCTACTGTGGCTACTAGACCATGGCACTAAGTGCCACATCCAGTCTCAGCTTGAAAATCTCCAGGGATGGTGAATCCACCACCTCTCTGGGCAGCACATTCCAATGCCTGATCACTCTCTCCGTAAAAAATCTCTTCCTAATATCCA